GTTTATATATTTATGTGTTTAGCAAATGTACTGTTTGTAGCGTAGCTAGAGTTTAGTCTTAGAATAGAGAATTGAATTAGACAAGGGCATACAGGGTATTCTTATGCTTGTGTGTTGTACTCTTCAGAGCATGCACCTATCTTGCCTATAACTACAACCATATATAACTAGGCTAGACAAAGGGCAGTGCCTAGCAAGAGACATGCAACTCAGGGCGACACTACCAGTCCAACCTCTGAGGCAAGGGTCTGAAGACCAGTCAGCAAGAGTACAAACTAAACAAGAGTAACTTAGGGCGGCACTACAAGTCCAGCCACTAGACCAAGAGCTACTCGGAGGAGTAGTACACAATCTGGGTCCTAGAAAGAGAGGAGCTACTGGAACTAAACCAAGCTGTACACAGTGCCACTGATGATCTTTAGGCACAAGCGCCTTAGTAAAGATATCAGCTGTGTTGGCACTGGAGGCCAAGTGTACTACACGAGCCTGGCGGCGCTGCTGTAGCTCGCGCAGGAAGAAGTACCGCAGCTTGATGTTCTTTGCTCTGCCCTCTAGTTGAGGCTCCTAACATAGGAGGATCATGGCCCTGTTATCAGCAAACTGGACCGGGGCAGAGCTAGGCCGCTCACCTAAGTTAGTGAGCACGAACGTCAGCCAGCAGAGCTCCTTTGACACCATGGCACCAGCATAGATCAACCGACGACGAGTGGGAGGAACTCCACGAGATAGCACATGCACAAAGGCTAAAGCAGTAGCCTTGGGAGGACCTGAGAGTCTCAGCGTCCTCCGCCCACCAAGCGTCAGTGTGCCCTGTGAGAACCACTAGCCCCATGCCTGATGTACTTGCTAGATAGCGCAAAACCCTCTTAGCGGCCGACAAGTTTTGGGGACGGTGTCTGCCTGTCGCCAAAAAGCGTGCCAGGAAAAAAAAGGGTATGCAATTTCTGGACGAGTGCAAGTCATCAGGTACATGAGGCAGCCCACTAGCGCTGCGTATGGACCATTGGGCTCACACGACTCGTCAGAGACAGGAGCCAAAAGTTTGTGATCTACTGGCAGAGGTGTAGGTTGTGCGGAGGAGAACTGAAGGCCGAACCTCTGAAGGACCTGGCGAACCAAGTGTGACTGTGTGAGAGTGATTGTGTGCACTGCTCTATCCCTGGAGATCTGCAGCCCAAGGTAGCGGCGCAGCTCTCCTAGGTCAGTGCAGGTGTGTCTCCTCAGTAGCTCAACCTTCACCGAGGCTAGTGCGCCTTTGTCTGCAGTAGCAAAGACTGTTGGTTAGAGAAGGCTATAAGCAGATGATTCAATGGCTCCTTGGAAATTTCTGCAGCACTTCGTTATGACGCCCAGAAAACTCGCGACCTTCGAATAGCTATATCAAAAACTCCAATCGGTGAAACGATCTGAAAATCGGATATGTTGTAGCTGGCAGTGTCAGCTTTCCACTGAAAGTTGAATCACTCGATTCCGTAGCTAAACGAGTGAGCTATGGCGTTTGGCGCACTGGGGGGTAATCTGCCCTAGGAGAAGTTGACAGTCCTCAGAGTCACTATGATTGAAGCTTACAAGTTCAGAGACATGATGGAAAAGGCATTGAAGCATAGTTGGAAGGTGGGGTAGGAAGTGAAGGATGAAAGGGAAGGACCCTGGAGGCCCATGGTCAAGAACATGACAAGAGTCAAAGTTTTGACTCCCCATCCTCAGGTTCAGCCAGCCTGGCAAGACAAATTTCACACTGTGCCAGGTTGGCCTCCAAACCCCAAATGCTGCAGCTGCAAGGTGGGGACAAAAGTCCCACACATGCTGGTCCCTCCTCGTTATAGGGCTCTCCAGCTTTGGTGTAGCAGCTGACAAGGACTTCCAATGAGTTGTAACAAATCCATCAAACATTTCTTCGTAACTTCTTCATATGTGCTCCGATTCCAACAATTCTTGGCTCGTTGGAATGTGCTCGATGTCATGCACAATCCAAGCACATCTGCACAAGCACAAGATGAACATGCAAAGACATGCAAACCCAACAAACCATACAAACAACGTAGCACACAAAACACATGCAACGAAATGATGCGAACAGACGACAGGATGACGTGCAAACGAATATGCACCAACACACTCCCCCTCAGACTGTCGGCTTGTTTCGCCGTCTCTAGTTCAAGGACATTCCCGCCATCCTCGCACAGCGCCAGTGTGGCTCTTCAGCTAGCCGCTTGGTAAGGAAGTCGGCTGGCTGTTGCTGAGTTTTCACGTAGATCGGATCCAGTGTCCCAAGCTTCACCTCCTTCCGCAGCCAATGCCACATGATCCTCATGTGCTTGTTCAACCCATGAAGAACTGCATTGCGTGCCATGGCAATGGCTCCCTTGCTATCACTGAACAGAGGTGTCGCACAAGTCTGTTCATGGCCGATCTCCTTCAAGAGCCTCCTTAGCCAGATGATTTCTTTTGCCGCATGAAACATCGCCATGTACTCAGATTCCACTGAAGATAGTGCCGTCTCAGACTGCTTCTTGGACCTCCAACTTACAGGCCCACCTCCCACCATGCAGATGTATCCACCAACTGATGATGAATCCTCATGCTCAGAAGCCCACGTGGCATCAGCAAAACAGGAAAGGAACACCTTTCCTTCTCCGAGCTGCTCCCCCTTCTCTTTGAGGACTTCAATTCTTTTTTGACTGAGTTGAGCAGAGGCTGAATACTGTACTCCCACTGTAGGGTATGACTTGAGGTAGCGCACCACTCTCTTCGCTGCACCACACTGCTCTTCTGTTGGATTTTGCACTACTCGAGCCAGCTGTCCCACAGCAAAGCTGATGTCAGGCCGAGTATGCACAGCAGCGTAGAGTAGGTTCCCGACCATGGATTGGAATTGCCTCTGGTCTTCACTCTCAACTCCTTCTCCTTCAGCTGCCTTTATGAGTTTGAACTCGGAAGGCAAAGGTGTGACCACTTCCCGTTCTTCCTGCAGAGAGTACTTCTCAGCCAAGGTGTTGATGTACTGTCCCTGATGCAGTTTGAGCCAGCCACGTTCAGTATCCCGCTCAATATGCATTCCCAGGTAGTACCTTGCCTCTCTAAGTGACTTGCACTTGAACTGCTCTGTGAGCTTCCGCTGCACCCCATCGATCTCCTTGTCACTGCTGCTGAAGAGCAGGATGTCATCCACGTACACCAGCAGAAGCACAAGCGACTCCCCCTCGCTCATCAGGAATAGGCTCTCGTCGCATGCACTCGCACGGAATCCAATCCCTTCCAGTGCACTGGCCAGCCTGTTGTACCAGCATCTCGGGGCCTGCTTCAAGCCATAGATGGCCTTGTTAAGTTTGCAGACACGACCGGTTCCATCCTCATAGCCAGGTGGTTGAACCATGTATACCTCCTCTTCCACAATGCCATACAGAAAAGCGGTTACGATGTCCATCTGCTTCACCTTCCATTTGCGCACAGCAGCTACCGCCAGCAGCACACGTAGCGTTGGAGACTTAGCAGTTGGGGCAAACACTTCTTTGTAATCTTCCTTCGCTTTCTGCTGAAACCCCTTTGCCACCAGCCTGCTCTTGTAAACTGATGGCTCTCCTTTCTCATCCGTCTTGATTTTTGCCAGCCACTTGCACTGTATTGCCTTCTTCCCATTTGGCAAGTACACCAGGTCCCATGTGTGATTCTCCATCTTGCTGTTGTACTCTGCATCTCTTGAAACGAGCCACTTCCCCCGTTGAGGCCCGGCTAGCGCATGATCCATGCTCGGAGGTTGTATTGGTGCGTAAAAGCAGTATGCAGGCTCCTTGTCATCTGACTCTTGGTCATCACCCAAGAACAGCACTGCATCTTCGCCTTGAGCCTGTTCCTGCTGCTCAGTTGTGGCTCCTCCACTTGTGGAGCTCAACAGCTTTCTCATTGCCATTCTGGTACGTGCAGGGTAGATGGTTGGATTTACCCATTCTTTCACCTTCACCCAATCCTTTGTCCCCCCACCAATCTGTTTCCTTCGCTTTGACAGACTTGGTGTTTTGGAAGCCTCTTGCTGCTGCTGCTCCGGATCCTTGACTTCAGCATCAGCTGCAATATCCTCATTGCTTCCTTCATCAGTACCGCTTGCCGTTGGCGCAGTGACTTCGCTGTCCTCAGGTTCGGACAGATCGAAGTGCATAGTGATCTCTTCCAGCTGCTGGGTGACCCTTGCCTCCGGCTGCTTCTCCCACTTGCCATACATGATGTTCTCCACAAATTTGACATCCCGACTATCAAACAGCACATTCTTTGAGGGCTCCCAGAGTAGCCACCCCTTGCTCTCTGCCGCAAGCCCAAGGTGCACACACCAAAGTGCAGATGCTCCAAGCTTTGTCCTGTACGGTTTAGGGACATGCGCCACTGCCATGCATCCGAACACTCGAAGCATGTCCACTGGAGGCTTCTTTCCAAGCCACCTCTCCAGCGGCACCCACATATCATCAGCCACCTTTGTGAGTACGCGGTTCCTTGCCACTGTAGCATGCCTCACCGCATGAGGCCACATGGAGTTCCCCAGCCCTGATTCGATCAGCAGCGCTCGCGCAGTTTCCAGGATGGTCCTATTAGCCCTCTCAGCAACGCCATTTGACTGAGGGGTATAGGACGTCGTTAGCTGATGCTCAATGCCTTGTTTCTTGAGCCACGCAGTCAGATCTCCTCCTAGAAACTCTCCACCTCGGTCGGTTCTGATGCTCTTGCATGGGTGCCCAGATTGTCGCTCGACGAACGGCAGCCAATCATCTCGTATTGTTGAGGCAGCATGATCCTTCTGCTTCAACGGGTATGCCCACATCAGCCGACTCCAGTCATCAACTATTGTCAGGAAGTACCTTTCCCCCTTACTTCCTCGGACTGGAAAAGGTCCTACGAGGTCCATGTGCACCAGTTCCAGTGCTGCCTTGCTTTTCCCAGCTACGCCGTGAAAGGGGAACCGTGTGAACTTGCTCAGCAGACACGTCTCGCACTTGGTAGCATTTGGTTGCCCAGAAAGCTTGAGCCCCTTTACTGCTTCTTCCTTATGCAGTTGCTGCAGCAATGGCATAGCCACATGCCCTAGACGCCTGTGTGCGGTTTCCCAATCAGTCTCCCCCGACCTTGCAGAAACCGTCACTCCTGCAGCACTAACTGCATTACACTCCCCCTGGACTCCAGAACCCGCCTTTACTTCTCCCAACTCCTTCTTTGTTGATTCCCATATCAGTGCAGGGATCTGCCACATGGATCTGAAGACATCTCTGCTTTCGTGTAAATCCCATAACACACGATCTCCTCGCAGCCCCTTGAATGTTTTGGATCCATTGGTGGTGGTGCTGACTCCGGCCTGGCCTAGCTTGCGCAGCGATATCAGGTTGGCCTTCAGCCCCGGTACGAGTAACACATCCTTCAGCACAACCAGTCCACCATCAGGTGCTCTGAATGCAGCTCGACCAACTCCAGCGACCTTCACTGCATGTCCGGATGCTGAGCGCACTTCAGAGATTGGAGGCGCTCGCACAGCATCCAGCAAGTCCTTGCGTGGTGTCATTGTCCATGCAGCACCAGAGTCCATGACCCACATGTCAAGCGGGTGCAATTCCTCTCCAGCCCTTGCAACAGCTGTGCCACTGTCATCTTTGTCACACACATGGTAGAACTGTCCAGCATTCCTCTCCTCATTTCGCATTCCTCTGTCATCCTTGGAGGTTTCTTCAGCAGGATCAGCTACCATGTTGGCACCTCCATGTGGTTGTTTTCCTCCATTCCCCTTCTCCGATTGGTTCCAAGGGGTCCACCAGTCGGGCTTGGTAGGGCAGCGAAACCATGGATGCCCTTCTTCCTTGCAATACCAGCACTCTCCCCTCAAGCGTGGTTCACTGTTGTCATTGTTGGAGTGACCACCTCTTCCTCTTGCACCAGCGCCACCACGCCCCCGCTGGTTCCAAGTCCCGCGACCACCTTGGCTGTGGTAAGAGCGACCGCGATTGCCACGCCCTCGATCCCTCCATGTCCCTTGCATGGCATAGCCGCTGGTGCTGTCATCACCTCCGCGCAGTGTATAGCGACGAAAATCTTCTTCCAGAATCTTGGTGCGAATCCACTCCAATGTCCATTGACTTTGGTTTTGTGGCAAGCTGAGTCCGCTTATAAATTGCAGCCAAGACTCCGGCAGCAGGCTGAGCATCTTGAGACACTTTGTCTGCTCTGGGTACGTGATGCCTGCAATCGCCAATTTCGCGTAGAGTTCCCTCATCTTGTCCAGTACGGGCTGCACAGCTTCATTCTCGCTCAACCGCAGCATGGACAGCTCCCGATCCAGCATGAGAGAAGCGGCAACCGATGTCGGAGCGTGCAGGTCCTTGAGCACTGCCCATGCCTTGGGCCCACAATCAATTTCCGGTAGCAGATGCATGATGTGATGCCTCTGGTTCAGCTCCAAGCTTTGTGACAGTAGATAGTACCCAGCAGATGAACGTTCATCCCAGTCCGCTTGCTCTGCCATTTCCTTTGGCCTTGGCTCCGTTCCAATCATGAGCTTCAAGAGGCCAATTTGTCGAAAGTAGAGCTGCATCTTCCATGCCCAATCATCATAGCCATCTCCAGAGAACTTCTCAATGGTGAAGTTCTTCAGCACCTCCTTAAGCAGTGACCCCTGGCTTGTACGCGCTCCCCTTTGCGCTGCAATGCCAGAATCTTGGGTTGAGCTGCCTCCTTGGACTGAAGTATCACCTCCACCAGAGTCCTCTTTATCTCCCATCGTATTTTAGGTCCCAAATGCGTGATAATAGGCTCTGATACCACTTGTTGGTTAGAGAAGGCTATAAGCAGATGATTCAATGGCTCCTTGGAAATTTCTGCAGCACTTCGTTATGACGCCCAGAAAACTCGCGACCTTCGAATAGCTATATCAAAAACTCCAATCGGTGAAACGATCTGAAAATCGGATATGTTGTAGCTGGCAGTGTCAGCTTTCCACTGAAAGTTGAATCACTCGATTCCGTAGCTAAACGAGTGAGCTATGGCGTTTGGCGCACTGGGGGGTAATCTGCCCTAGGAGAAGTTGACAGTCCTCAGAGTCACTATGATTGAAGCTTACAAGTTCAGAGACATGATGGAAAAGGCATTGAAGCATAGTTGGAAGGTGGGGTAGGAAGTGAAGGATGAAAGGGAAGGACCCTGGAGGCCCATGGTCAAGAACATGACAAGAGTCAAAGTTTTGACTCCCCATCCTCAGGTTCAGCCAGCCTGGCAAGACAAATTTCACACTGTGCCAGGTTGGCCTCCAAACCCCAAATGCTGCAGCTGCAAGGTGGGGACAAAAGTCCCACACATGCTGGTCCCTCCTCGTTATAGGGCTCTCCAGCTTTGGTGTAGCAGCTGACAAGGACTTCCAATGAGTTGTAACAAATCCATCAAACATTTCTTCGTAACTTCTTCATATGTGCTCCGATTCCAACAATTCTTGGCTCGTTGGAATGTGCTCGATGTCATGCACAATCCAAGCACATCTGCACAAGCACAAGATGAACATGCAAAGACATGCAAACCCAACAAACCATACAAACAACGTAGCACACAAAACACATGCAACGAAATGATGCGAACAGACGACAGGATGACGTGCAAACGAATATGCACCAACAAAGACCAGGTCGTCTATGTAGACTAGGATGTAGAACGGAGTCTGGCCTGAGTGAACGAAGAGAGATGGGTCAGCAGAGGACGGAAAGAACTGAAGGTCTGCCAGTGTAGCACGCAGCGTGTCGTGCCACTCGCGAGGCGCATGCCGTAGACCATAAATCGGGTGCTGGAGGAACCACTCGTTCCAAGGAGGAAAAGTGCCAAAGAAGCTTGGCGGACGGCGTAGGTAGAGTCGCTCGTGTACACTGCCCTAGAGAAACGCTATGTAGAAGTCCGAAAAGTGAAGCTCGTAGTCGCACCGTGCTGCTACGTGAAGCAGTGCCCGAAGAATGGTCATCTTCAGGGTTGGGGCAAAGGTCTGAAAGAAGTCAACACCTTCGTGCTAACTGAAGCCTCTAGCAACGTAGTGCACCTTGAACACCGGCGGTTCTCCAGGATGACGCTGCACCTTGAAGAGCCACTAGCCATCGACAACGTTTGACGCAGGTGGGAGAAATGTGTCGACGTAGGTGCCGGTGGATCTCCAAGATCCCATCTCTGCGTCCATGGCAACTATACAGTGAGAGGCCTAGGGTCCCGAAGTCGCCTCAACGTAGGTGCGAGGGGTCGGGATGTGAAAAGCGTCTGGGTTACCCTCAGGGGCTAGCAGCATGGAGAAGAGGGAAGCCAAGAAAGACATAAGGGACGGTGTTGGCAGTGCGCTTGTCTGCGCGAGAGTCGCAGACAGAAGCTAGGCAGCCCTAAACGTGACGCGTTTATGCATCACCAAGGGACCCGGTCCAGAGGAGGGTCTGCGAAACTTGCGGTTGCTGGGGGGTGTGGCCACATGTTGAGCTAGTTAGCGGCGTAGCGCCCTGCGAACGGCTGCAGAAAATGGGGTGCACCGGCATGGATCTTGGAAGTACGAGCCACTTCCATGACCAAACCGATGCGTCGCTCAGCAACCTCATTCTGCTGTGGGGAGTTCGGCAGTGTGCACGACTGGCGGATGCCCTCCGCACGACGGAACTGGCCAAGCCGACCGGAGGCAAACTCACCGTCACGATCGGAGTGGAGACGGAGCACAAGCAAGGCGCAGTGGATGTGCGCAGCTACAAGCTACGGGATAAGAACGTCAGGCACATCGACCTTCCGCTTCTTGGGAAACCCCGTGGTGTAGCGCGTGTAGTTGTCTACGAGCACTAGAAAGAACCGCTCTCGATGCGGCCCAGGGACGGGGGCTGGGCCCCTGACGTCCAAGTGTAGGGTCTGAAGTGGTGCAGAGGTAGGGGGAAGCGAGGAGGAGTGAGGAACACGGCACAGCCGGCCCTCGATGCAGGGCGTGCACGGTGGTGTAGGCGAGGGAGGAAGAGCAGGGAGCGATGCAGGGAGACCTAAGACAAGACCGTGGTGGGACATGTAACGCAGACGCAGGAGTGCGGGGTGACCTAGGCGGTGGTGCCATAGAAGAGACGGGTGAGTGAGCGACCGACATGTGCAAGCCGCAGTGACCTGGATAGATGTAGCCACGTGGGGGGACGACCCCATCAGGGGAGATGCGGTGTCGAGCGTGAACAGGCCAGACACCGGGTGCCGGGGGAATGTGGTGAGGGGGGCACCAATGGCGGCCTTGGTACAGACTGCATACCGCTCATTTCCAGGGAATGTAAAGATGACGCCTAGGTCCTGAAGGCAGCCAACACCAACTAGGTTCCTGGAGAACGACGGGATATGCAGACCCGTAAGAGAGCCCGAGGGAACCGCCGGACACGGAAGTGTGGTGGAGCTACGTGCAACTACCGGACCTGAGGGATGGTCAGCAAGAGCGACGATAGTAGGGTAGGCAAGCGTCGTGAGCGTAGTGTGGTCGCGAAAGAAGCAGGCGGACGCACCAGAGTCAAACGCAAACGAGAGAGCAGCGGTAGGTACAGCTTGAGGAGGGATTAGGGTGGAGCCAATGCTAAACAATTTACGAGGTCCTACGCCTGATGCAGCAGGGGAGCCTAGACTATACACAGTGGATACACCTACACTAAGCAATACAGGGTAATTAGGACCAGTCACATTAGAGTCTTCAATATACAGTACATGGCATACAAAGCAGAGCGAATCTGATCCATATCCATCTCGAAAACATGCACGCGGCGATGTACTAGATTGGGCCAGTCCGGAAGGTCCGGCTCAGGGCCGAAGCGGAGACGGAAGAGGTCGTCGAGGCGGCGGTAACAGCAGGGGGTTGTGTGAGCAGGAGGGCTACACATGGTGCCACAAAAAGGATTAGTCTGGAGCTGGTACTGGCAACTCACAGAGCTGGAGCTGACACCCGATGTCGAGCTGCGCGGCCGCCACCAAAGCTGCTAGGCCACCACGGCGGCCGGGGTCCCCATGGTTGCTGCTGCTACTGCGGCTACTGTTACTGCTGGGGCTGCTACTGCTTCTGGTACTCCTGTTGCTGCGCCGAGGCATCAGCCACGTCCCCCTCGTTTGTACAACCGGCAATCGCACCACCTCCACCACCTCCGACACCCCCGCTACCCCTGCCACCCTGCCCTCTGCCACGCCCTCCTCTCGGGCGGGGGCCCTTACCCTGACGAGGATGCGCTGAGGCCACTGTGGCAGACTCAGCGGCAACGGCTGTCTTAGCGACAACAGCAGAACCGTCAGAGGAAGTGCATCAGGAGGGAGCACAGCCCTAGAAGATAGGGACCACCACAGTACTTCTAGACTGAGCGATAGTGCGCTGGCGGGTCTCTATTGCAGACAAGGTGGTAACGAACTCCGTAAGGGTGAGGTCAGCGGGGTGGAGACTGAGGAAGGCGCCGCGGCCAGTGGCGAGGCAGTCAGGGAGGCGTGTGGCAAGGAAGTAGAGAGTAGTGCCAAGGGAGGGAGGCAGTACAGTGACCTGGGCCTCAGTGCTAGTAGCGCGATAGTTAGACTCAAGTGCACGCAGATGAGTGGCAAGATTAGCGACAGTAGGGAAGGAAGCAAGATCAGGGAAGAGCAGGGGCAGAAGGAGGCGACCAGCAGAGGTGGAGGAGGGAGTGGATTAGCGCACAATGACGGCATCTAGGTACTCCTTCGCAGTCTCTATGGCCTGAAAGCGGGGATGCTCAGACAGGGGGAGGGCATGAATGATACCAAGCTGCGGGAGAGCGTCACGCGACCCCCCGACAGAGCGGGCAAGCTCAGCAGCTGCAAAAGCCTCATGCTTAGCAGGCGTGGGGGCGTCAGGGAGGGCAGAAGGCGGGTGGGCGCTGGGGAGCTTACCGTCGAAGTGGACGGCCAAGTACTAGCCATCCTGGCGCTGACCTTTCTGCTTGCGGCAGAGGTCGGCGAGCCACGCCTCAAAGTCGATCGCCCGACCCTTCGTGTCCAGGTGGAGCACACGGTCCGTCATTACCACAGCCGCAGCGGTTGACGATCGCTAGCGGAGGAGGAGTAGGGGGCAGGCAGGTGCTATGGAGAGCGGTGGAGAGGAGTGGAGAGCAATGAAGCCGCGGAAGAGGATCTAAGAAATAGAGCTTAAAGGATTAATTAGGTAAGGAGCCCAAGGCTCTATAAGTACATGGCAAGGTGAGAGAGAATGGATGAAGGGGGAATCGGAGGGAATCCCCATTGGGATCTTCGGAATCTCCAATTGGGTAATTGGAGATTGGGGGGATCACAATTGGGTGAGGTTGGGATTTGTGAGTACACCCCAACCCACTAGAACATTCCTAACCTAAACTAGGATATAAAAGTACAAATACAAAAGTGGGATTTGCAATCTATTTCTAACAAAGGAGACATCCGGTAGAAGCCCTGGCTCAGAGTGGAACCAGGGCCGGCGGTGAGAAGGGGCCGGCAGTCAGCAGAGGCAGCGCAGCAGCCGACGCAGGTGGCAAACTGGGTAGCGTGACGAGCGGAGGCCGGCTGGGGGCCGGCAGCGAGCAAGGATTCTTCGCGAGCTGAGCTGGGGTCGGCGAGCAGGGGCCGATGAGCCGCGGCCGGCGAGAGTTGAGGGGGGGGGGGGGGCGGGGGGAGCTGGGGCCGACGGGAGCTGAGGCTGGTGGGAGCTGGCGCGGCAAGAGCTGGGGCCGACGGGAGCTGGGCCCGGCAGGAGCTGGGGTCGGCGAGAGCAGAGGCCGGCGGGAGCTGGGGCCGGCAGGAGCTGGGGCTGGCGAGAGCTGGGGCCGGCGGGAGCTGGGGCTGGTAGGAGCTGGGGCTGGCGAGCTGGGGCCGGCGCGAACTGGGGTCGGCGAGCTGGGGTTGTTGAACAGGGTCCGTGCGAGCTGAGGCCGGCGCGAGTTGGGGCCGGCGGGAGCAGGGGCCAGCGAGCTGGGGCCGTTGTGAGTTGGGGCCGGCGAGCGAGGGGCCGTCGAGCGAGGGGCCGGCACGCGAGGGTCTGGCAAGCTGGGGCCGGCGAGCAGGGGCCGGCAAACTGGGGCCGGCACGTGAGGAGCCGACGCGTCTCTCAAACCATAACTTCTGCACACCTCCAATAGCTGTTTGTTATCCCTTGAAAA